CGGAGACGAAGATGGTCTCGCCCTTCTTGGGCTTGCCAATCTCGTACAGAGACGAGTATGCGGTCAGACCGGGCATACCCAGGGGACCGAGGAAGACACGAATGTCCTCGATGCCGAGGGGGTTGTCCAGCTTTCGAATGCGAACAAGTTCCTTTTCGCCGAGGGCGATGTACTCCTGGATTGGAACGTAACCAATGACCAGGTCACCTTCCTTGTAAGTGGCATTGTTGGAGCGCAAGATCTTGCCAATGGTGGTGCTGTCAATGGGCTGGTCGAGAGGGAAGGCGGGGGCGTACGACTTGGTCTCAGCGGGGCGCATGCGGCCACGCATGTAGGGGTCGAAGCTGGTGTAGAGGGACTGCACGACGACACCGTTGTCAGGAGCGGCAACGCTGGCATCATAAGCGGCAGTCTCGATGACCAAGTCCTCCCCAGCGACGGGGTATCCCTGGGGAATCTTCTTGAAAATAAGAGCCTTGTTGACAGACATTATGTAGATATTTGATAGGAATAAGAAAGATAAAGATGGGAAGTAGCAATTTGCCGAAGTATGGCGGGATCTCTTTATATGACGACTGAGCTGTTCATCAAAGCGGGGCTGTACCGAGGATCGAATACAATGCTTTTCTTGCGTTTTTCTTTTTCTTTTTTTTTTCTTTTTTTTTTTTAATTTTAAACCAGATCGATACCGGAGAAGCTTCTCGAGATGGTGATGCTCCAGTTGAGAGACTCCACTTTGTGCGGTTTCAGCCTTGATATGCATAATTTAATGTGCATGCTCCGAGCAAACATTCAACAGGTGTACGATGAACACATAACTGTGGCAACGGAACCAGTTTTTTTAAAAAAAACAGTGGGGAACGGATGGATTGAGCACAACTCAGGCCGACGGAGACGGCCATTTTAGGTAGGAAAACCGTGACCCTCGGCATCTCAACAAAATGAAATAATTGTTGATTAATATACAACCCGACAAACAGTGATTGTTAAGCAACGGAGTAGCCGGCTGTTTTAGGATAAAACGGGTATGGAGGTGGTGTGTTGCATATTTCGGATCTATATACTGTACGAAGATATAGTATACAGTATATCTGTCTCATCATTCTTGTTCAGCTATTAAGACATTCGCACTCTTGGATTGAAAAAATTATGCATTAAGTACATGAGTATATAGTCATTACCGGAATATGCACCGGCATTTCGAACCCTGAAAATGCACGGAATTAAGTACACCTAACCATACCTAGGGATAACCTAGGCCTTGCCAGTGAGTGCGCCAGCAGCCTTTTCAATAAAGTAGTGCTTGCCCTTGATCATCTTGACCATGAAGCTGAAAGGCACAAATCCAAAAATCTGACCACTACCACCAGCTTCACCAACGGGCACGAGCATCATAATGCTGTCACCCTGGTCATAGGTCTTGATGGCAGCGCCGCCTACAATGGCGGCTTTGAGGTTGGCCGCCGCCACATGTGCTTGCTCCGTGGCCTTGAAACTGAGGCGCATTGAGTTGTTGGTGATATCGCCAGCAGCAAAGATAGGCAGAGTTGACCCGTCAGTCGACTGAACACGCATCTCTTTGTTCACTGTCACCCAGCCGTCCTTGTCCAGGAACTGAGCTGGAATAAAGCTGTTGTTGGGGGTCGCACCGGTAGTGGGGATATACAGGTCAGCTGAAAGCTTGTCTCCGCCTTCCAGTGAGACTGTCCAGTTGGAGCTATCGTCGGCAGGAGTCTCGACTCCAATGACTCGCTTCGAGGTCACGACCTTGACCTTCTTCTGCTCTAGTAGCTTGCGTGCGGCAGAGCTTGCGGATGACTTGAGCATCGGGAGCACGCGATCTGTCGCGGAGATAATCGTGATGGAGACCTTGCCGGCATTGCCACTTTGTTCCACTGCTTCAGCAAGCTCACCAGCCAGCTCAACACCTATAGGGCCTGCACCCCCAATTACGATCTCCTTAGCCCCAGCAATGTGTTCCTGTGCCGACTCGATCAGCTGCTCCATGTCATTGTGGTTCGACTGCTTGAATGGGATGGAGGTTCCGGTGAGCGAGCCAGAAGTGGCAGATGTAGTGCTGCCCGATGCGATAACGAGGTAATCATATGATAGGATCTTGGGCTCGCCCTCGTTGGGGGTCACAGAGACCGACTTGGCAGCAATATCGATAGCAGTTGCAACTCCAGGAAGGAACTCGAACGCATCGGGCCGGTAGCCTGCAAAAGCATCTTTGATCGGGAGCAAGTACTGCTTGGGGTGGAAGGCCTTAGGTTTGGCGACGATGCGTGGGGCGGCAATATTCCAGTAGAAGCTGGTTGAGGGGTTGATCAACACAACCTTTGCATCAGGTACATCACGAAGCACAGAGTGAGCAATATGAAGGCCTGCAAACGAGCCTCCAATGATGACTACGTTGATAGGTGCCATGATATGGAGTCAGTGAAGTGGACAAGGGTGAGTTTCTTGTTTTGTTTTTGGAGAAGGGACGGGATGTCTTATATGTGACAAATTAGATCTGCTCCCCGCGCGTATATGCAGGGTCAACAGTAGGCCTAAGATACGTATATTGTCTGCTGTCAGGCCTCTAGCGCCACATTGGAAAAAAAAAATTGTTTTGTCAGTGAATTTTCTATTTCCAATTCTACCTAAATGCTTACCAACCCCCATTATTGACCCTTTGGTAATTTGCTTCGATTGGTTGACCATCTCTAAGGTTTAGGCTAAACCTTGGATTGGTCACATGTTTGACCTGTTTGGTCTGTTTGCTTGGTTTGATACGGTTGGTCAAAACTCAATTAGGTATGTATACACACCCATGGGACATCTTTGGGCATACAATATGATACACATAGGTGAAAAGAAGAAGTAGCAAGACTTCAATATGGGCTGGGCATAATATATAACGACGTTCTCTCCGTACTCATGGGTGTTCTTTGTTTGGCCGGCCTCCGAATGCCTATATATATCTAGGTAACTACCTGTCTTTTACTGAACAAACATCTTTCTCCCCCTGTCCCCACAGACACAGACAATACATAACAAGGGTTATATGTACATGGAAAAGTTGGTTTATACTTGTTAAGCCACTTCCATCACTATTGCTTTAGTTACAACACCATTACAGGCAAATTTATAAAAAAGACATCTAAAAGGACTACGAAAAAGACGTCAGAACGCGGCAAATTCCGCCGACTATTCTTGTATAAATTGTGATATACATGTGCTTTGACACAATTCCTGCCTTATAGCTTTCAAAGTGCTCTGCAGCTAACTACTAGGGATCATTTACCCTAGATGCATTTGCATATTTTTAAAGATTCTCAGCTCAGCCAAGGGAGATTTCAAGATATCTAGTTATACAACACAACAAGGGGTCAAGCTCCAGACTATCTGCTTTACAAGCGATCAAAAAACCAATTTACCGGTGTCAGCTACTCCCAAGTTGACATGACCTTTTAAGAGTGAGCCCAAGTATTTCCACCTCAGCGGTCACAAACACTAAGAGCTTATTGCTACTTCAACGAGTCGCAACCAGTATATGCTACTGGTGTGATATAATAAAAAAGGGAATTATGATTTGTTCATGACACCTCGTAGGTCGCCTTCACACGGGTACTAATTAAACAGTTCGTGATGGTCATCCTCTATCATGTAAATTAGCTGGTCTAACACTGATTTGAGCCTTTCCCCACAAAATCGACCAAGCGCCCGCAATTAACAGAAAGCCTAGCGCAATCTGGCACCGAGTAGCCGTTTCAGCTCGACCAGAGCATGACTATTTTCGAATCCTAGTTCACCGGGCACCAATCGTCTCTTCGTTCTCCTCCTACTTCTCCTTGGCAGTATTCTCGGATCGAATTGTAAATTTCACACCCTGTAGAGTATTTATAATCCGCTCAAAAATTTGAGATTTGACAGATAGTATACTCCCCTTACTCGGATGAAAAAATTGTCAAGCCTATCGCCAACTGTAACGCTTCAAATCCAGCGTGAACCTACCACCATTCAGTCTAGACCAAATTGAGGAACATAAAGAAAGGTCCTAAGGCCTGAGCTAAGAGCATGAAGGAAGTCATTAGAGGGGAAAGCGAAAGACAAAACCGTTAGTATGTACCCACAACTTGACCTGTAGTATCAGCTTTACTCTTTTCCGGAAAAAATATCTCTAAATCAAGTCCTCATCAAAACAGAGAGTAGTAGCACTTGATACATATTGTAGTAAGACCTGGAAAGCCAAGGTGAACTGTAAACCCAGGCAATCATTGCCAGTGACAGGCATTTCCCTTGTAGTCATCACTTGCCATATATGAGAAAGCCGTTATATAGGAATTTTACTTTTCACGGGTGCTCCGGGTTGCAGCCAATGAGGTTCAAAATAATGACCATCAACTTTAGAAGAGGCAAATGACAGCAAACATGAAATTGTATTAACGACTCAAATACAACGTCTATAATATCATCTCGTGCCAACCATATATTCGGATGATTAGTCCTACAATTTCAAGACAAAAGTCACATAATCGACTAGCCATTTCAAAGATTTTATTCGGCATTATTGGAAATCAACAACTGCTTGGCTCTTACTAGACTGTACACCTTCTTGAGAGTAGTATCCATGTGGATTCATGGCTCGCTCACACGAACGGGTTAAACTGACTTAATCAAAGTTCACCTGACCTCAGATTGGAAATATGATAGGTTCAATACCCATATTAATAGTAGGCAAAGTCATGATTCCTAGTCTCAACCTTCGAGTAAGAGATGGTCGACTTGACTTTTTTGGGTATCGTTTAGTGTGATTGGTTGTTCTGTTGGCAGATTTGCCATGTTTGCCGTGTTTGCCACAATTGTTTATTTTCCCCTATCGCGGGATGTTATCTGTCGATAAGGATCATGTGACCCCGTAATTATTTTTGCGCTACTCCTTGGAAAGCCCCAAGTGCAATTTGTACCTTCATCATCTCCCCATCCGATTTTTTTTCCATTAGCATTATATCATGATGCTTGGAACAGTTCGCCGATTTGGCGTTTCACACGCGCTGCGCGCTACTTCGTCTCGCTCAATCTCAGCACGCTTGGCTCAGTTGCCGAAATGGCAGATTCCTTCGAACCTTTCATCTCTTGCTGCAACCAGATCGCTTCATTCCTCTTACCCCAGGCTGTCTGCAGCTACTGCGGAGGCAATCGTTGAAGAGACTGAATCCTCCAAGCCTGCGATACTCACAGAGTTTTCCGACCTGGCGGCGGAGAATCTCATTCACAACAAGATTATCAAGAACATCATTCAACCTGACCGGATGAACCTTAAGACTATGACTGAGGTGCAGTCTCTTACTCTTAACGAAATTGTCAAGGGTGATGATATGTAAGTTTGATTGACAGATTTCCCTCGAGATTGATTGGTCCGCTAACCCGGGAAACTTTTTTCCAGCCTCGCCCAGGCAAAAACAGGAACCGGCAAGACGCTTGCTTTCCTTGTACCCACCCTTCAGAACATTTTGAATGACCCCACTGTCGATGTGTCCAAGGTTGGCCGCCGCTCAGCTAGAACTGCTCCTTCAGAAATCCGTGCTCTCATTATCTCCCCTACCCGCGAACTCGCGGAACAGATCGCAGTTGAGGCTAAAAAGGTTGCGTTTGGCACTGGTCTTATTGTTCAGACTGCTGTTGGCGGTACGCAAAAGCGTGCCGGTCTTGCCAAGATTCAACAGGAGGGATGCCATCTGCTGATCGGTACCCCGGGACGTCTCAAGGACATCCTCTCGGACCCATGGACTGGTGTCTCTGCCCCCAAGCTGAACACTCTGATCCTCGATGAGGCGGACCGCCTGCTGGACCAGGGTTTCGCTCCTGATGTTGAAGAGATCCAATCAATGCTTCCCGACCCCACAAAGGTGGACCGCCAGACACTCATGTTCTCGGCCACCGTTCCCAGAGAAGTTATGCAGATGGTTCGTCAGACCCTGAAGCCAAACTTCAAACACGTCAACACAGTTCGTGAAGATGAAGTCCCCACCCACCACAGGGTGCCTCAGAAGCTTGTCTACACACGCGGTCTTGAAAACAGCCTGCCCGCCCTCCTCGAGCTCGCTCAGAATTGGCAAACACGTCGGGATAATGGCGAGCAGCTGCGACCTTTCAAGGCCATCGCCTACTTTAACTCCACTGCTGAGACCAAGGTTTCCGCTGATGCCTTTAATGCCATTGCTCGCTCTTCGGAGTTCCGCCAGTCTTCTATGGGCAACATGAGAATGCTCGAGATTAACTCGCGTCTCACACAAGCGCTCCGCACTCGCAGCGCAGACAACTTCCGCAAGGCTCGTGAGGGCATCTTGTTCTCCTCAGATGTGACTGCTCGTGGTATGGATTTCCCGGATGTCACCCACGTCGTCCAAATTGGTGTCCCACGGGATCGTGAGACCTATATCCACCGTCTCGGCCGCACAGCCCGTGCTGGCAAGGAAGGTGAAGGCTGGCTGTTCATGCACCGGGCCGAACAAGATGTCTACAGAAAGCGCTTGGGCCGTCTCCCATTGAACGTGGACACAGCTTTGCAATCCGCCGATGCGGATCTCTCCCAGACTTTCTCCAACGACACAGAAGTTGGCAAGATTGTCAACAAGATTAGCGAGGGTCTGGCCCAGTGTGACGGTGCTACCAAGGTCAAGTCATACATGGGCCAACTCGGTACCACCACTGGAAACTTCAACAGCAAGAGAGAGGCCATCCAGGCACTCAACCAAATGTTTACCGTGGGATACAACATGCAAACCCTCCCAGAGCTCAGCCCCAGATTGATGCAGCAAATGGGTCTCAACCGAATTGACGGTGTCAGCGCGGGTGATGGCACCCGCCAGCGACGCGAGGGCGGCTTCTCCCGCGGTGGTGACCGTGGAAGCCGTGGTGGCTTTTCTCGCGGTGGCGACCGTGGTGAGCGCAGTGGTTTCTCTCGCGGCGGTGACCGTGGCGGTTTCTCCCGTGGTGGTGACCGTGGCGAGCGCGGTGGTTTCTCCCGCGGTGGTGACCGTGGCGGCTTCTCCCGTGGCGGCGATCGTGGTGACCGTGGTGACCGCTCGTCTCGTCCTCGCCGCTCTTTGGATGATTCCTTCGGCCAGGACTCTTTCCGGTTTTAAGTCTGAGTTGAATCAGAGATCAACTCTTGTCAGCCACGCTGGCAATTATAATTTGTCTGGCATTTTCACCGATAGCAATGCTGCTGTCCGGTGAGACCAGATCAGCCAAAAGTGAAAAGATGAAGCAACCATTCTGGCATTGGGCGGCGTTCTCCCATCTCTTTTTTTTCGGACTGACTTTGTGTACTATACACCCCTGGGTGCTCTGTGTTTCTACTTTAGACTTCTCTCCTCCTTGTCTTATACTCTACTTGGTTGTTCTGTGAGATTATTTTCTGGATACGATGATTTGACCTTCACCTTTGATTTCATGTACAATATCTTCTAGTTATTTGCCATTATTCTATCCAGGACTCAATTTTAATCTTGACACAACATTCTTTTACCGAAACAGCATGACAATAAACAGGAGAGGACTTGACGGCCTCTAAAAGGGCCACAAAAGATGTTAAGAATTCCAGGTCTTTGAGTTTATACCCAACTTATTTTCGTCCAACTTAATCTTGAGTGAGGTGTTTTAACTATTTGAGCTCCAAGTCCATGATGTATGCACGTTTCATCCCTTCACCCAATAACAGCCAGCGTAGCTCAATGGTAGAGCGTCAGGCTTTTACTTGATTTGAGAGATTTCAAAAATTTTCAAAAGTGTCATTACCTGAATGTTGCGGTCGACCCCCGCCGTTGGCTTCTTGTTTATCTCCAAACCGAGATATTCTATTTTTTACCCCTTTCAAAACATCATAAATGATGTTGGAATCTCGGGGGTCTCTTTAAAGTTCTTCCAACTTATCGTCCCACTTAATTCAACAGATCAAAGCCCGTTGAAAACATCATCAACTACTGTTGTGATAAACATGTTAACCGCAGACTTTGTGTACTGTGTTTTTCCTAAATGCAGCCTAGTGCGTAAGCAGACGCAGATCTGTTTAAGCAGAGCACTACTGAAGACGCAAAAAGCTGGATTGGAAAAATACGTGTTACGCGGCTGGGAGGTATGGCAATGGGAATCGAAAGAGAAAGACTCTGACTTAGAAGGAATATGTTGGGTAGGAGACAAATTCACGTTAAAAGTGCAGTTATTTGACAACGTTATACAACAAAGTCACCCTGAGATACAGTACTATGCGATAGTACCATGGGGGTTGAGTAAGAAAAGAGACAGGAAAAGATCAGGGTAAGGGTTCCTTTTTGTCCCATATTCAACGATATATGTGAATAATTTGGACCTTGACTATACTCTATATATATATATGCGTGAAATGATTTTGAACTTTAAGTATTGTATATAGGGTCTTTTTAAGGTTCTATCCAGCTTATTTCGTCCAACTTAATCTCAAGTGAAGGTTGTTTAACTCTTTGAGCCCCAAATCTGTGATCTATGTGCATTTCTTTGCCTCATTCAATAACAGCCAGCGTAGGTCAATGGTAGAGCGTCAGGCTTTTACTTGGTTGGAAATTTCCAAAAATCTTCCAAATAGTTGCAACCTGAATGTTGCGGTCGACCCCCGCCGTTGGCTTCTGTCTTATCTCCTAACTAAGATAATTCTTTTTTTTACCCCTTTTGAAGGGGTATATTATGCTGGAGTTTCGGGTCTTTTAAGGCTCTATCCAATTATTTTTGTCCAACTTAATCTCGAGGATCCATTTCGAGACATCTAAATCGTTGAATATGGGACAAAAAGGAAACCTTATATCACACATCCCAAGTATATCGCAATGTGCACGAAGAAACAGTCATTCGTGAGTACAAAAAAAACATCAAACAGAAAGAAACAAGAGATACACTTAATCACGGGCGATCATGTGTTCTCTGGCAGGACCAGTACCGATCCACTTAACAGGAACACCACCAATCTCACGCTCAATGAACTCAACATAAGCACGAGCATTAGGAGGAAGATCCTCGTAACGCTGAACACCCATAGTGTTCGACTTCCATCCAGGCAGAGTAACATACTCCACCTGAATCTTCTCGATGACATTAGGGTCCGCAGGGAAAGTACCAGTAGTGCGCTTTCCATCCGGCAAGATATAAGCAACACCGACCTTGATCTCATCAAAGTCATCAAGGATATCAAGCTTAGTCAAGTTCAGCGCGGTGTAGTGGTTGATAGCATGAGAGTAACGGCACAGGACAAGATCCAACCAGCCACAGCGACGACGACGGCCAGTAGTCACGCCAAACTCACGTCCAACCTGCTGCAGCTTCTCACCGGCTTCGTTGAGCTGTTCGCTGGGGAAAGGTCCAGAGCCAACACGTGTCGTGTAAGCCTTCACCACGCCGATCACGGACTTGATGTTGGCAGGGTTCAAGGCAAGCGCTTGCACGGCTCCGCCTAGACCGGTTGATGACGAGGTCACGTACGGGTATGTGCCGTGGTCGAGGTCGAGCATGAGGGCATTGGCACCTTCGACCAGTGTGTTGGGTGAGTTCTTGTGCTCCTGCAGGAACTCGAGCTGGTCGACGATGTGGGGCTTCAGGAGGTTGCGGTATTCCTAGAGGTTGTCAGCGATGTGTTCATGATGTGAATGAATAGAAAAGCCAGTATTTGTCCAGTTTTACTGTCGCGCCATGGGATTTTCTTGCCATTCCTTGGCGGAGTGAAGAAGTGGCCGGGATTGCATCCGTACCTTGAACCGCGCAATCTCCTCCTCAACATCGTATGCCAGATCTCCGAACCGTGTGCGGTATGAGGTGTCCAAAGTGCGCAGCTTGCGCTCGAAGGTGGCCTCGTCCAGGATCTCGCCGACGCGGACACCGCGGCGTGCGGCCTTGTCGCTGTAGCAGGGACCGATACCCTTGCCGGTGGTGCCAACCTTGCGGCCACCGAGACCCTTCTCCTCGAGACCGTCGACGACAGAGTGCAAGTCGAAACAGACGTGTGCGCGGTCAGAGACGAAGATGCGCTGGGCAGCACCCTTCAAACCCTTGGCCTCGATAGCAGCCAGTTCCTTGAAGAAGCTGGGGACGTGGAAGACGGTGCCTGCGCCGATCAGGTTGATACATTTCGGCGAGACGAGACCGGAGGGAAGAATGTGGAAGTCGTATGTGACGTTCTCGTGGACAATGGTGTGGCCGGCATCTGTATCCAATTGAAAAAGGCCGGTTGGTCAGTCACTGTCTAGCCTTGGAGATGGCCCGTTTAAAAACTTCAACACTCCGGAGTAGAGCGATTGCAAAGCAAGTTGAACGTACTGTGTCCGCCGGCTGCACGGCAGCAAAGTGTCGCATCCTGCGACAGCATGTCTGTAATCTTCCCCTTTCCTGTTCGTTCGTTAGCATGTCCAATGTCTCTGTCGGGTCTCGTTCCCGTTACCTTCATCTCCCCATTGACTTCCTAGAACGATTGAAACCATGATTGCACGCTTGATATAGTCACAAATTCCGACTTATGCACGATCAATTGCTTTGGATGGTGGGGTAGGATCGAAGGCAAAAGAGAATATGTCTGGAGCCGATAGCGGGGCCAAGATCAGGTTTGCCGGTGTGAGTTTTCTGGGCAAATTCGACCAACAACGCTGATGCTATGGATTTGGAGTTGGATCGGTAGTTTAACTATACTACATTGAGGTATTTTTTACAAATTTAATCTCTTTTCCCAGTGAGTCAGACCAATTTTCCGCGAACTCCCGCTGTTACAGATCCGGCGGGGTGGCGGGGCTTGGTTGCAGCCTTGATGCCTTGATGCCTTAGTATTTTGATGCCGTGGTGCCTTAGCTTTGAAGCCTGAGGCAGCAAGGGTTAGGGCAAGGGCTTCAATATATTCCATGCTTTTCGCATTATACATTTCCATACTACATTTCTGCCAGATCACCTTACTCAGTAAGATGCAGTAAGATGTTTTCGATATATCGTCATTAGTACACAAAATATACCGAAACTTAGTCTTGATGTTCTTGTTAATTTCTCTGCCCGTCACTTTGGGTGTTCTGTTCTATCTTCTATTTCTGACTGAATCGCATTTCCGACACGACATATGTAGATATTTTGGACGTTCTGGCTTGACTCTAAGATAGGAAGGGGATCTTGTGCGTTCATCTGCCTTTCTTTCCAAAGTCTGAGCGTGCCATTTCCGTTTTCTGACCTTTATGTTGGCATGACGCATCGTGTAGATTGCCGTCGGGGGCTGTCGCAGTCTATACATTGCGATATTACGACATACTCGAAAATCATTTACCTTGTTGTCATGATGGATAATGTATTCCTTTCTGATCTACACTTTCGGCTGGGAGATGAAGCTAGTTTTCTCGCTATGCAGTAAATTTCTTTTTGTTGTCGTAGCCCTTATGCCTTCCTTGCTAGTATCAAGGCCGAATTCATCTTTGAGATACTGTCTCAGGTTTTCCGATATCAGTAGCTTATCTGGCATTTGATTTCGAAAATTGACCTAGTTTTGGTGTGGCTCTCCCCGATTTACCTGCAAAGTGGCCTCGGGGGTTTTTTTCTGGCATGTTGGCTAACCAAAATCCACAGAAGATCTCTAGACGTGATAGTTGAGACCTACACATCGGTAGATAGGACCGGTTGCTAAGAAGCATAGAGCAGTGCTGGCAAAGTGATCCTTGCAAAATTTCACACCAGCAAGGTTGGGTCCTATCTCCATAGGTGGGCATTTCACACCACTAACAATAAGAGATCTTTTCCCTTTCGGTCGAGAGGAGCTGTGTCTTTTGTCCTTCTCTTTGCTGGTTGGGAAAGCTTTCTAGAGGACTCTGTTTTAAGGCTGGCTTCGGCTGTGGCTGTTTCATCTGTTGTTGGGCTGTCTTTAACTACCTTCCCATTTGCACGCTTCGTCAGAGGATCCATAAATAACTCAAAGGCAAGTTCATGAGGAATGACACCCTTTTGAATCTCTAAGAACTCATTCGCTTGTAGTAGATCTCCCTTCTGGGGAATATCTCTCATAGAGTTAGTGTGCTCCGAGTCCCATTTCACTTTCTTTTGATTGTGAATTTCTCTCATTATCGGAGCTGTGACTCGGTGAATTTGTGAAAAGAAATAAGGTTGTTCTTCAGAATCATCTTTGGTTTAGGGGTCACCAATAGCGGGCCACTTGGAGAGAGGATCTTGGAGGCTTTGGATACAGTCTAGCCTAATACACATAAATGTAAGTATGAGCTTGTTATACCTTTAGTATATGTATAACCACCTGGAGATGTAATCATAATTTAGTAGTAAAAATCAGATTTTATAAAGTCCATTTTTGACAGGTGGTTTATACAGAAGTCAAAGCAGGAATGTGAAACTGATGGAGGGTGCCTTCCTGGCAGCTAAAGGAAATTCTAGCTAGATATAGAGAGGCAAACAAAGTTGAGATATCGGATTTCAACTATTTGAGGTTAAATGGCTCGCAGCTAGCAGCAGCACGCCCTCATCGCAGTGTGTAGCGACTGTCGAAGTATGACAATGTGCATGTAATTATAATAGAAATGAGCAGAGGTCCCGGCCTAAACATGAAGGCTCAACTATAGGTAGAAAAGTAGAGACAGTGAATTGGAATATCCACGAGAAGTACGAGAACATTTGGATAATTATGGATTCAATGTCGGTTGAGCTTGAAATACATTCAAGAAACCATTTTCCTAGTACCTAAATACAAATCCAATCCGACTTGAACAAATCGAGAGAAAACACTGATCATCATAAAACCCCGATTGAAAAGGAGTCAGGCATATCTATGCAGATGTGATAAAAATCCCGGGTATTCACAATAACACCAAGCCATCTATGCAACGCAAAAGAGATATCAAAAAGGCAAGTAGAAGACATCAATAGAAGTGAAGAAAAAGAAACAAGAACGAAGTAGCCAGAAGGCAGGAATCAGGTCAGATCAAATCAGAAAGCCTCCCAATACTAAAAGCTGAAGATGCAGCCCCAGCACTAGCTTTCTAAATATCATGAAAAGGCTCAGTGATAAAAACTCAAACCACCTTGCCGCCATTTCGAATCCATTCTCTCAATCGTCCAAGGTCAAGGATACATTCCCGATGCAGCTCACAGGCAACATCCCAATGCTTACGCACCTGGATATCCTCCTCAATACCGCGGAGATAGGCACTGAAGCCGCCCTTACTGGTACCAGGGATGAGGAATTCGTCAACATGATAATCATCAAGATCTTTCTTTGTCGTGCCGTCAATGCTGTCGTCATCCGCGCCGTTTATTTTGAGACGGGTAGAGTCTCCAACGGCACTGATCCACCCCGGCGCGAGACCGGTTTCATTCGCTTCTTGACGCGCATTAAAATGCGTGAGCATGCGGCCGTTAAACGCGTTCCATTCGTGCATGTATGTGCCCATTGCTGAGACATACCAGTTCCATTTGTCCCGGGGGAGGACAAGTTGTTTGGAAGTTGGGGCCAGGGGAACTGGTTTCGGGGCCCAGGGTCGTTTGGGTGGGTTCGGGAGTTGGAGTACGCGGGGGCGGATGTCGTCTCTTGTGGTCCTTTGTTGCTTGGCTTGGGATTCAAAGGGGAGAGTGGTGTGGAAGTCTTCTAAGTTCTCGATGCCTCCGCCGGTTGTATTGGTGAATGGTACGGTGTTGCGAAGATTATCGAGGTTGAATAGAGGAGTGCGGTGTTCTGCGCTGGGAGTCTTGGATTTTTTGACCGGAGGTGCGTCTGGTACAACCTGAGAAGCCAAATCGGGATAGCTGCCACTGCTTGGCCTTCCAACTGGGACCTTCGACGGAATACCCGGAGTAGGAAGGTCCTCGTCGAGGTCCATCTCCTCAACGTCCGGTGCTGCTGTGCCGGCTGACACCGGAGTCTGGCCATTGAGAGTTTCTTTGGCCTCATCTGCTTCAGTAGCAACACTTGCCGGCTGCGGAGCGCTTCGCAATTTGGTGCCCGCTCTGGGCTGTTTCTTTGGACTACGAGGCGCACCGTTTGCCGCTTGTTTGGCTTTCTCGATCTCGGGTACAGTCCACGAGAGATTTCGAAGCTGTTCGGACCATGAATCTGCAGAAAACTTTGCCTGTGCAAAGGGTGTTGGTGGTTGCTGGGGTGACTGTGAAGTTTGATAAAGAGGAGTAGGGCCGAAAGGATTTGGAATCGGGGATCCAGTCGAAGATGCTTGCGTTGGTCCGTTTCGGATATTTGTTCGGCCCCGATTCTGCGAGGCAGGCGATCGCGGAAGTGACTCCTTGCTTGGCGAGGCAGAGTTCATGAAATCGAACTGACCCAAATGATCCCGCCAATCGTCCGCAGAAAACTTCTTGTGTAAGTCACTTGTGCTGCTACGTCCATATGCGGCAGATTGGGGCCTTTGCGCATTGTTGACCGTGTCGGTGCTAATACCGGTGTCTGTCAGAAAAGGCGAAACAAGTTGATAGTAGGTATATCGGACATACTTGACAGAAGAGGAAGAACCTGATGGGTTGGTCTGCTGGTCCGATCGGTAAGAGCTTTTTGGGAAAGCAGCGCTATCTGAGGTGTGTCCTTTGGAGCCGTCCTTGTCAGCAGGGGTACGTTGATTAAGGGGAGAGTTCCGAGAAATCGAATGGAGTTCGTAGCTACCATCTGGTAGCTCGACGGCTCGAAGACCATTTGCGAGGAGGAAGGAGGTGAAGTCCATACCATTTCCGGGGCTTGCTGTTCCTGGGTTGTAGAAGTCGGCAAACTTTTGATGCGCCCCAAGTCGACTCTTTGGCACAGCCTTCGGTTTGGGTCTAGTCTCTTCCCCTTCACTTGAGCTGGTAGAATCATAGTTATTGGCGTTCCGCCTGGGGGAGGGGCTGGCGCTACGGTATCTCCCAGACCGGCCAGAGGCAGGGCTGGTTTTACCTGTATGCCCGTTTTGATGGGAAGAACCTGAGGGGGTCCGCATGGTCGCGGAACGTCCCAATCCAGTGCTTGAAAAGAAAGTCTTCTCACCCTTGCCTGCCTGGGCGTAGCTCCTACTGGGTCGTTCGAACTCCGGGGTGTACGAATGGCGAGATTTGGGTTGAGGCGGCTCAGGTGATGCTGGTTTCTTCGCAGTTGGGGGCACAGCAGGCCTGAAGTATTGGCTGCTCGTCCGTTCAGCCCGGTTATTGCTATAGGCAGAGGTGTTGCGGGCCATCGGCTCGTCTCCTCCAGCTACACCTGGCGCAAATCCCTGCTTCTTCTTGAAAGACTGCGCGTTGGAATGGGAGTTGTGGGCCTCAAAGGCAGACTTGGGCCGGGTGGACTGCGCAGAAGTGCCAAAGGGATGACGCTGTGCCCCAGGACCTGGGACACCACCAGTGGCACGACCAGTTGAAGGATCAAAGCCCTGCCATCCAGGTGCTTGGCCTCCTCTCATATTATTAAAACCATGGAATGCATCAGCCCTTGTTTGCGCATTGTCCTGTTGTTTGAATTGTTGCGGACCGGCACGCGCATGAGATGCGTATCGTCGAGCGCCAGCCGACGGGGTAGTCGGGGTCGCCTTTGTGTATTGTGAATTTGCAGACGCCGAAGTTGGCGTAGGGCGAGGAGGATAGGTGGGGGGTTGTGTTTTGCGCTGGGTATTTGCCTTGGGTGGTCCGTAGCACTTTCCGTAGCCTGCGCGTAAACGATCGGTGTCGTATTTTAGTCGTTGTGAGGGGTCACTGAGGATCTCGTTCGCGGCCTGGATGGCTTGGAATTTGGCGTTGAACTCGACTTCTCGTCCTGGGTTCCTGTCTGGGTGGTACTTGAGCGCTTTCCCTCTAAGTTAGCAATGTCCTCAATTATCACTTTGTGGCAATGTTTCTGCGAAGCTAACCTAATTTCCTGAATTGCTTCTTGATGTCCTCAGCCTCCGCGCTGGGCTGGAGCCCAAGGTCCGCATAGTAATCCTTGCGCACGTCTGATTTCACCATGTTGTTCGTGGGGCTTTGGCCAACTTATGCAGTCGTAATAAGTTCGAATCGCATAATCGGTGTTCAAGTAAATAATCGGCGGTCCCACGCATGTCCAGTCATAGAAGGTCAGCCCAAGAGTAAGGTAAAAAGCACGTTGCACAAAGGCAGGGCCTTTTGAACAGGACCAAGCAAGCAAAACAAAATTAAATGCTATGTCCTGCAATGCTAGGAAAATTAAAAACCTCACTCGCTAAATGTTGGAAAAAGACGCAAGACTGGGTTCAGTTCGGAGGTGAGAAAAAAAAGAAAGGGCAGAGCCTCCTTGTATGCTCCGCGGTCTCGGTTGGCCGCAGGTTCCACTCCAAAAGCGCTAGTCAAAGCTCGGTTTGGGATAAACAGTTCAGAATTTGGTCTTGGGGATTTGCGGCGATTGGAAACAGTGTTTTTCAGTGAGAACGGGAGAGTGAAGCGGGGGTAGGCAGAAGTGAGTTGAATAGAAAATCGGAGATCGGAGTGGGCACCTGATGTCGAGATCAGGCAGTTGGGTCCAAGCGCAGATCGGAGTGAAGCAGCCAACAGGGCTACAAGGTTCTTTTGTGCGGTGAGTGCCACGATCAATGAGTGGAGAGCATTGCAGGAGTTGTGTTGTTGGGTTGGGAGAAAAGAAAAAGGCGGCAGTGTTTGTTTTGACGCCGTTGCTGCCCGAGGCAATCAACATATATCAACGCAAGGCAACTACAACATACTATACAATTCATGATGCTATTGTTAACCCTGGAATGAATTATTTCCTTTCCTTGCAGATCTTTGTATATCGGTATATATATCTATATAGATGGTATCGAAAGGAGCGAAAAAGAATAATCACACGCTAAATTATACAACCCTTGCTAAGCCAAGGCCTTTGGGAAAAGGTAGGGTAGGCGATGAAAGGAATGTAAAAGGAAGAGACCAAACAAAAAAAATTAACCGGGAGAAACAACGCTAGACATTCTAGACATCCCCTCCAGGTGCGCCAGCCCCAGAGCCACCAAAGAAATAGCCCTCCAAAAGATCGTAATTAGGATTCTCACTCCAGTCATGCTGGAAGTCCATAGCCATACCAAAGCCAAGATCGATTCCAACATTCTGGCCCAGGTTGGGACCCAAAGATGGCGCAGCCATCATATTGTAATCAGGATTGGCTTCGCCTTCCATATTACCCTGACCTTCAGTATCACCCGACCCAAAATCCAAGAAATCAAGACTCATCCCTTGCGGGCCCTCGGTGTCGGCGGGCGGCAAACCATGAGTGTGAGTGTTGCTACCGGGAGAACCACTGTGTTGCGGCGAGTTTGAGTAGTAGAACTGCGGGTGCGGTTGTGGGGAGTTTGGATTCTCGTATTTGAGATAGTGATCCATCGATTGATTGCGCTGTCCATAAGGCCGAGAGGACTGGTCTGCTTGGAAGCTGGGGGCTAGCGATTCTGGTTGAGGGTAGGATGGCCCCCCGGGTCTGTTTTCTGGTCGAGAGTGGTCGGTTAAGGGGGTATTATCGGTGAAGAGATCAGCCAAGTTCATGTCGAACTTGGGGACGGGACGGGACGGGCGTGCCTGCGTTGTTCGCCGGGGTTGCCCTTGTCCTATACGGGGTCGTTGCTCCATAGGCTGTCGTGGCCGGCCGGGGTGGAATGAGCTCCCGGTATTCGATGTGGCGTGGACACGGCTCATGTCTACCTGTGATCCGAATCCGGTTGTTGAAAGACACATTTGGACGGTTGCTTTGCTCATACGCTCGAACGCATCTCGGCATGCTTCGGCCGGTGGGCATTTGTGCATCAGGTCGCCTAGAACAGAAGTCGCAGCGAGAACCGTGAAGTCAACTTCATCGAGTGTCTAAGAAAAGGGCGTGTTAGTGTGAATGCAAACGCGAATTCTAGGACGGGTGGTACCTACTAAGCGGCTTCGAACCAAAGGCGAATGCCAAATGGCATATAAAAAGGAGATTCCTAATAGAGCGTTAGTAATAAAGCGACGAAAACGCAAAGAAACAACTACATACCAGCCATGAAAATGTGATGCGTAGCAAGATAGGTATAATTCACCAAGCGTACTCTATGCAATTGGCGATATATACGAATGACCTTCTGACCAGCCTCGGCAACATTAAGATAGACATGGTCCTCCTCATCACCCTCATCGGGATTAGAAAAGGACGGACTAGAAACGTCATCCGCAGGAGTAAGCTCTCCCGCCAACTCGGCAGGAACCGTCAAGCTTTGCTGGTACAGCAAAATGATAGCTTGCCAGTAATTCAACTCAAGCAGCTCAATGGAGAATCTCACGCCTGTTTCAGGTCGTGTTGGGGCAGTGTCTTGCCACTCAACCAATCGGCGATGCACATCATAGCGCCACGAGCGGAACGAGTCAAAGCCCTGAAGGAAAGGAGAGGAAAGCTCGGCGTGAGGGAGAATAACTGCACCAGGGCCTCTCCTCCGCACAGCGCGTGTCTGCTGGTATTGAAGGACATCGTGGATCTCGGATTGAAGAAGACGCAGTTTGAAATAGTGGAATGCGACATGCTTATATGTCGGGGCTCCGTCGGGTGGCGTCAGAAGACCAGACTTGGTGATGTATTGGTCGTCCATCATAGACGGGAACTCTGTGCTGATGGCCTGATCGCTAATACCGAATGGCCGTCCAACACACGTGGCTACCAGACGATCAAAGCTGTAAACGCACCACCACAACCGGCGACGGATATCGCGCACCCATTCGCGTCGTCCGCGTTCACGAGCATCGATCCGTGACTGCGCTTGGTTGCCATCTTTCGTTGCAGAGTCAATGCCGGCACCATCTTCGTAATGGAGCCCAAGGTCAACGGCTAAGCGCGTGGCCACACCGACGATATACCAGAGACCTGGCGCAACGGGTCGCAATAGGGCAAAGCTGGCTAGAAGGAGTACTGCCTGCAGCTCTTCTAACCCACCAAAGCCCTCGCTGGAGGAGGAGCCAAGGAAAGATTCCAAATGAACGATTGCCGAGGCATGGTATTCCTCCGGCTGGTACTGATGGTTCGAGAGTCTCGGTCTCTTCGTCCCAGACGAGGACCGGTCACGACTACTGCGATTCTCATCATCCGAGCTTTGAGGCTTATCTTCAAAGATGATTCCAGCACCAATGGCAAACACGATATTAAGCACGTAAAGCGCGCGCGGAGAACGCTTTTTCTCCTCTAACAAATATGTCTTATCCAACAGCTCCATGAAATCTCCCCGGTGGAGAATCGGCATCTGAGGATTCGCGTGTTCAAAGTAAAGATCGACCAGTCGTTCAGCCAGCTCCCGGTCAGGGAAAGTCGCGCGTTTCATCATCGGCCTTGTTTGCAGCCCGAAGAACGAATCGCGCATACTGCTCCCTCCTCCAGCAGTGCCAGCAGCACTCTGAGGCAATCGATCGCTCGTTCGAATCGCTGCACGCTCCGGCATATTACCGGGGAGTGAGCTCCTCACCGCAGCGAAGACGACACGGGCAAACGAAATGCCCGATGTCGACCCCAGATATCGTGGGTCGGAAGTACCCTGTACAGAGACCATGCCGATATTCGAAACTAGATTATGCAGGCGCCAATTATCCTCGCTAGCGGGGTCGTCGTCCGCATCGCGATTATTCCCTTCTTCTTTCTGCCCCGGTCGATCGGCATCTTCCTTCGATGTATTTTTCCACCGTGCTTTCTCTGCCACAGACCCCTCCCCGGCCTGACCGTCAGAACCGGAACGAGCTTGCGCGGCGTCGCCATCAGCCTCGACCTTGATAGCTTCCTCCTCGTCGAAAGCGACGACCTTTTTAAATTCGATGTTGTTATCCGCTAATTGTTTTTCGAGATGTGCTACGCGCGACTCCAGAAAATAGACGTAGCTGCGGGGGATCTCGCGCTTTGTAATGGGGTCGTATCCGACGCAGCGCACGCCGGCCTTCTCACAGGACTGGCAGCGTGGGAGGCGCTGGTCGCAGCGGTTCTTGCGCAGTCGACAACGGTTACAGGCAGAGACATTGCGGAATGAGGAGGAAGCGGACGAAGCGGGGGTGCTGGAATGGGCGGGCGAGGTGGAGGGCACGGCTGTCGGGGCGGAGGGCTTGGGAGCGGTATTGGTCGCGGGGTCGGTTTGCGTTGAGGGAGTGTCGGATGGATATGGTCTCTTCTTGCCCGAAGAGACTGGTGATGACGGCGAGGGGGGATTAGGCATTGTGAGAACCGAGAGACGAGAGCCGCAGAGTTGCGATCATCTCTTGGTGGAGTTTTGCGGGGACTGCGGTCGGGAACTGCGATTTAACTTCCCAGACCAGACCAACATGATAAGATCACGAAGTACTTTTGATGTTCGTCTATGATAGTGTTTTCGGCAATTAGAGATTCTCGCGGCAATCGTGCCGAATCGAATCAAAGAGATTTTGCCCGAAACGCGGATTTGGGAGCAGCTTGTAAACTCAGAATTAGATCATTCTCCGAGAAGATAATTGCAACACAGAACTATAAATGAAATTTGTGAAAATCTGGGGAAGAGAAGAAACCACCTGGGCATGTAGTCAACAAGAGTTTGTGGAGTTGGGAAATTGAGTTGCCCTCGGGAAGAGATCTCGGGGTCCAGACTTTGACATGCCGAGATATCATGGTCCATCTGGACTTCGATGCAACTTTGACGGGACTTTTGCTTGAGAATTGGAGGATGAATCTGATACAGCTTCATCTGGGAGGCTTGGTGGACCTCCCCCACTCCCCGCATTCAGATGTACGACATACGGCCGTTGACATATGGGGATATGTATAGTACGGGGAGAACAGCGAACGGAAATATACGAAACATGCGGTTGCTGATTTAATCTTGCCAACACGAGGGAGTATTTTCCTTAACCGGACACCGTCGGGAAACACATGTGCTTGGTTTATAGTGAAACTAATTGTTTGAAGTCCAGCCCGAGACTACAAGGCTACTAGACTAGGAGATGATCAACGAGGGTAGAGAAGATGACGACCGCTAATATTGAGCAAGTCTGTAGCAAGATACTCTAACTGACAGGCACACGATCTTCGAGAGAACTTAGATCAAAAGCGACAACGAAACAAAAACAGAACAGCCTCCCAGATGCACATGAATATTGTCATAATATAACCTGTTGATGCTCCAAGATAAAAAAGAAAAGAGACCCAAATTTTATGCTTCTGCATATGCAATGCAACCATCTATAATTGCGCCGTTTCCCGGTCTCAAAGAAAAGTCATGAGAATGAAATAGCAAAATGAGGTATCATGATGACGGGAAAAGATGAAAAAGAAAACAAGAAAAGAAAAGAAAAGAAAAAGTCCGCGTGGCGCCTCAGCGCTGAAATGAATATGCCTTTCCAGAAGGACGGGGAGAAAATAAAAGGTGATGCTGCAAAACAGGCAAGCTTCACAGTTTTAGACATTGGTATCATTGGTGACATCGCCCTGGGGCTTGGGGAAATTGTCGACGGCGTTCAAGTTGAGTTGCGAAATGTCGAAGTCATGGTCGACACTAGAGCGCAAGGAAAGCAAACGCTGCTCTTCCTCTGGCAACTCGTCAGATTCCTGATCCTGATTGCCGAAGTCCGAGAGGACTTCACGCTTCATCTCGGACTCGCTGACCCCAGGCTGAGGGGTCTTGAAGCGCTCAGGCTCCGGGGATTCCTCCATCCAGAAACTTTGGATGGCACCGATTAGGCAGACAAGACCGCAGGCCCACCAGGCCAGCACGGAGTATCCACTATTGAGACCCTTGGAGTGGAGAAGACCAGTGATGGTCGGACCAAAGGCCCGGCTAAGACTGGCAGTTGAGGCGGCAACGCCGTTGATAGAGCCCAGCACTTTAGAAGACGGGGCAGCATTGGCCAAGAGGATGGCGGTGGCTGGGAAAGCGATGACATGGAATGTGATTTTGCTGATCAAGGACACATAGACGGCGAGCATTTGGAGCTTGGCCGGAAGAAGGACGAGGTAAGGTACGGCCAGGTAGAGAGGGGGCCATACAAGCAAAACGAAGCGGAAGGTGCGCAGAGTACCAAAGTGCTTGACGACAAATGGGAACAGCCACAGTTGGGCGATCATCGAGTACACGCCTTGCACGGCGAGCATGAACCCGATGGTCTTCGTGGCCATTCCCAGGCCTCCGGTGAACTTGAGGGGTAGCACTACGTCGTCATCGGATCTTGGTGTGCTCAGTAAAACCGGCATCAGCTGATCAAAGGAGACACTGTGGCTGAAAGAGGGCAATGCATGTCAGTAAATTGTTTAAACGTATCGGGTAGAAGGGTGTGGCGAGCCAACTCACTATGCAAGAATGCCGTAAGCAACGATAGCGAGGATGACTTGTCGGGTAAAGGCCTTGGGCGCGGGGCTCTTCTGCCCCTCCAAGTCACAATCAGCCGAAGCGCCGTCATCAACGGGACGCAGGCAAGGCGATGATTCGGCAGTTTCGTATCCAGGCGGTGCATCAAAGTACTTTTCCTTGACGTCCACGTCGGAATGATCGGGAAGCTGCACGCGCGAGCCCCAGCACAGGTTGACCAACCACTGGCCGAGTTCGAGACCGGGGTCACGACGGTGCTTCTTCTCCGGGTGTGTCTCCTCCAAAAACAGGAAACCGACCACGATGCCGCAAACCAACACAGTGATGCAAACGAGGTTGGGCAGCAGGAACGGGAATTTATCCCACAAAGTGCTGCGTGCGAAGAGGGCCGGGTAGTTGTCGCAAGGCTGGGCCAAAGCGCCGCCCATAGCCGGTCCAATGATCGATCCCAGACACCACACGAAAGGCATAATCGAATAAGCTCGTGGCTGATGCTCTTTCTTCGTGACGATCTCCGCAACCGTCGTTTGAAGAACCCCGATGTTCCCGTTCAACATGCCGCCCAGTGCGCGCGCAATCATCGCCGTGGCTAGGTTGGGCGCAAATCCGAAGACCACCATGCTGATGGCCGTGCCCACGAGGCCCATGATGAGGACTGGCTTACGACCAATCCGGTCACTCATGCGGCCCCAGAACATACCCGCGGAAAATTCAGCGAAGGTGAATGAGGAGGTGATCATGCCGGCGTACAGAGCGATTTGGCGGTCGTTATCCGTCACATGGAATGATTCGACCATGTGATACACGTATGGGAAAATTGACATGAAAGCAATCGGTTCACAGATTCGGACGAGTGCTGCATCGAATTTGTCAGTAATTAAGATCACTCATTGTTTGTATAGATGTGGTTTGCGCCGCATTTTGCGGCTACCAGATCTTCTCTTGTTTTTCATAGTAGAACAAAAGTACCACACTTACCTAACACGAATAATTGCCGAATTGGGAATGTAGAGAAGTCATCCCCAGAGCCATTGCGGGAGCGTCGGCCCTGTAAACAGGCTGGTCGTTGAAACATTGTGAAATTGAGAGAGGAAATCGAAAGTTGAAATGAGCTGGACAGACACAAGGAGATTTCACAGAGAGGCTTCAAGACACCCCGCTTCCCTTTTAGATTGTATAGCTCCGAAAGGAAAAAGGCGGGAACAAAGTACCAGATAAAAGGTGCTTTTGTCTCCTTAATTTCCCCAGAGTCGTGAATAAAAGGGAGAGAATGTAATAGTGTAATTGGAGCAAGGAGCAGCGTCTTTTGGTTTTAGGGCTTCAGCATTGCTCCCCCTGCGGTTGGAAATTCTATCAAGATCCGATAAGGTAGGGTGGAAGATTGCGTATGAGACAGCTGCAAGGGAGTCCGGAGAGTTTATAGAAGATGTGAGGTTCGGAGGTTCTGAAGAAGGAAAGGATCTATAACCCCAATGTAGTAAGAGTAAAGATGTCAAGAGTACTCCGTAGTCAAGTGTAGATAGAAGAAAGTCCAAGGAAAAGAAAAACTAAGGGGAAAAGGGGAAGCTATTATAATAAGATGTTTGACAGTGGATAGGTCTATAGAAATGATCAGGCGCCAAAGAACTAAAACGTCAACCGTTCAGCATCACAACTAGACATTTCGGTTACAGCTGCACAGGATGCAGTTGGCAAACATTGGATCAGGATAAAGACGAACGAAGTGGGTCAGAACTTTTTTTCTTTATTATTGTAATTCACTGTTTTATTTTATTTTTCCAATTTGAAATTTAATAATATTAATGATAATAATGATAATGATAATGATAATGATAATAATAATAAAACCCTTTATTATGTGGATCTGAGGTACGGAGTACGGAGTACGGAGTAGAAACCTGACATATTCCGTTTAAGAAGAGTAGGGGGAAGCGGAAGAATCCCCCCGGAGGCAAGGAAAGGGGGTGGAACCAATGGGAAGAACTCGGTACATCGTCATCCAATTTTTGATATATTTGATATATTTGATGTATTTGGTTTATTTGACTTATTTGATTTGAATTTCAATTTACTCGGGAAGGATATTCTAAGAGAGAAATAATATCTTCATGAAAAAAAACACATACATACATATTTAAAAGAAAGAAAAAAAAAAGGACATATTGTAATGGGGATCAATCAGATCAGATTTTGGATTGTAACACTAGCACAGAAATATAATAAATTCCCAATTAAATCCTAATTTAAAAAAGAAAGTTTAAGTACCATCTTTGATTCGACAGATCCATCCCCCAGATCCAACAAGAAAAGNAAAAAAAAAAAAAAAAAAAAAAAAAAAAAAGGACTGATACCAAAATTAAAATTATTTCCTCGAGACCCACGGTCCTGAACACCGGGCCCCCGGGGAACGGCATTAGGCCTACCCTTAGTCTCCTATGATGGGGCGCTAAATGATACTTCACCCGTATGGCGTAAGGTAAGGAAGATCGTTTTTTTTTTTTGGTTCCCAGAGCTATGGTTTTAGTGCAAATTAGTGAGATGATAGATCTCGCCTTATAGCTCCGCGGTATCTCTGCGCCTCCCCGAGACCTATATACTAGTATGAACCTACTCCGTACTTCGTATATTGATGGAGACTTGAAAAAAGGTCAAATCGAAGAGCTAATTAATTTAAATTTTTTAGAATTTTTTTCTTTCTCCTTTTCCGTCTCTACAACTGTAATGTACTTCTTACTCTGTAACTAAGACCAAACATCATATCGTCATACTCTCTCCACTCAACGGAAATGGAAACCTAACAGATTACCCACTCTTTCCAGATGCCCGGGATGATCAGGAGAATTCGTACTTTTCTAAAAAATTGGGAGCCAGCTGATTGGGTT